TAACAACGCCTACCAGTCAATTAAATTCATATATGAAATTTTCGACTCTAAAATATCTTTCTTGTACACAACTACTTCTACAAAGGACGGTGTCATATCAACAGACCTCTACTGTAAACATCAGTACCTTTCCCCCAAAGCTGTCACCCCAAACACTATACAAAAAGTATCCCGTACAGTCAAGCTCTCAGAGTAAAGCGGATTTGCTCCTCTGAGGGGGCTGTCACTAAACGGTTACAGGAACTTCGCGGATTTTTGACCAAACGAGGTTATAAGAAATGGGACATAGATAAGGGGTTTGCGCGTACTAACAATAACAGCCGCAATGACCTATTACAGTACAAACAAAAGAGGCGAAGCGAAATTGTTCTGTTTGTTTAACATACAATCCGTCTTTACTAACCTTCCCGTTTGATCCGTGTCAATTGTCAATTGTCAGATTATTGCCAAACACCCAAAATAATCCAAGACCTTTCCCAAACCTCATGTCTTAGCTTTTCGGAGACCAAAAAATCTGAAAGACTTATTTGTGAGAGCTGATGTCTTCTCTAATAAAATCTCTTAAACTGCAGGATGGTGCAAGTCGTGCGATGTCTGACTTGCCAACAAATACTGAATACTCAAACATTTACTTACCACTCCACTGGGTCCGTATGCACTATATATTGCAATGTAACTTGCAAAACCCAGAATGTTGTATACCTTCTTCAGTGTCGATGTGGCATGCAGTTTGTTGGCGAGACAGAACAGCCATTTAACAAACGCATGAATGGTCATCGAAATTACTTCACCTGCAAGCCCGACCTCCCCGTAAGTCGTCATTTGAGACCACCTGTACACGCCCAAGCTGATCTAAAAAAAACTTACCATCACTATCATAGACCACAACAAGAGTTGGTCACGGGCCGACAGACTTGCTCGGGAAAGTGTTTGGATAGGAAAGTTAAGGACAGTTTCCCAAGAGGGCATTAATGAAAAAAACATAGAATGAGTCCCTACCATCACTTGTTTCCTGTAACTCAGGCTTCAGTACAGGACTCTTACAGTTTTAAGGAATTTATTCCTCCTCCCAAACATCAATATTGAAAAAAATTACCAGCGTATTGATTCGTGATAATTTGTATAACGATCAAGATTAAGTGGTTGCAACAGCAAAACATACGAACAAACTGCATAAATCAGTGTTGCAATAGCTTAACTTAATAGTTCGATACGAAGCACAAAACTAGAGTCTCTAAAGAGCCTGTGTCGCTCACCTGCATCGTCAACAATGGCCACTTTTTAGTAAAAATCATCATAAAAGGGGAAGAACTCCATAAAGAGTTAACTGATAATTAAGTTCAGTCATGTTGACATATTTGTAAATCTTATCCTGCTGATAATTATTCCTTTTTAAAGTTTCTATTTATCTATTGAAGTTTTCAAGATAATATTCAAAAACTGCAAAAAAAATGTTAAAAAAAATTATCATTAAAGGGCAATAACTCCAATAATGAGTCGACTGAAGATTTTGGCCATATGGCTTATTTGCGGATCTTGTCTTGCTGATCATAAGTGCATTTTAAAGCTTCTATCTATATATTACAGTTTGCAAGATAATAGGCAGAAACGGGAAAAATCGTCATTAAAGGTCAAAAACTTCAATAAGGAGTCGACTAACAATTTCGGTCATTTGACTTATTTGTAGATCTTGTCTTGCTAGTCATTTTTGCTATTTAAAGTTTCGATCTATCTAATATAGTTTATAATAACATAAACGGTACCAATTTTTCTGCACCAGATGCGCATTTCGACAATAAATGTCTTTTCAGTGATGCTCGAGGCCAAAATATTTGAAGATCCAAAGCTTATTAAAAAGATGAAGAGCTATAAACCAAAAGGGACAAAAAAGTAAAGCCAAAGCCGGGCAAGGAATCAGAGATATGTGGGAAAAACGCAAAAAATAAATGTTAAAATCGTCATCATAGGGCAATAACTCTAAGAAGGCGTCGACTGAAGATTTCGGCCATTTGACTTACTTGTGGATCTTGTCTTGCTGATCATTTTTGCCATTTAAAGATTCTGTCTATCTATTATATTTTTCAAGATAATAGACAAACATTTTTTTAAAATGGTAAAATTTATCATTTAAGGGCAATAACTCCTAAAAGAAGTCGTCTGAAAGTTTTGACGTGAATGAACAATAGGTAGAGCTCAACATTCTGAACATTTTTACCCCTGTAAGATTTTCTCTATTTAATTCCACAATAAACATCCATTAAAAAGCATGCTCTCACCTTTAAACAAGGTAAAACATCCGATCAAGAAAATCGATATTCCACACATTTAAACCATGCAATTGATAAACGAGATGACAGTAGATAATTTATTTCGGATTAGTGTATCATATTATTATTGAACATTGTATTTAATTGTAAAAAAACAGTAGATAATTAATTTCGGATTAGTATGTCATATTATTATTGAACATTGTATTTAATTGTACTATTACTAATATAAAATATAAGAAAATACTACTTATCTATATGAAACCCTGTTCTTATAGATATTAACAATATCGGGGTACCTTACTGTTAAAGCTGTAGCGGTAAGGTCATTGTTAACAGCTTTAGTGCAATAAAACTTTATTCAAGTGTTAAAAAAAAAAAAAAAAAAGATTTTCTCTATTTATAGCGGTTTTCAAAACAATAGGCAAAACTTGCATTTTACCCCTATGTTCTATTTTTAGCCATGCCGGCCATCTCGGTTTGCAAGTGGGGTCATCGGACACATTTTTTTTTTCAAATCATATCCCAATGATGATTGTGGCCAAGTTTGGTTTAATTTGGCCGAGTAGTTTCAGAGGAGAAGATTTTTGTAAAAATTAACGGACGACGGACGCCAACTGATGAGAAAAGCTCACTTGGCCATTTAGGTCAGGTGAGCTAAAAACAACTAACATAAAAACAATAGGCACAAAGCACCGATATAAGAGTACTCGCAGTTAATGAACGCTATAACTAGTTCAAAGTCAATTACATTTAATACATAAATCATGTTCTCCCTAACTAAAATATCCATCAGTACACATCTAACAGATTTAGTATAAAAACGTCATAATCAGTCTGATTTCTAGATGACTTAACAGTTCTGATTGTCTAGATTACTTAACAGTTTTATGGAAAATGGTTGTATGTTATATTGAACTTGCCTTTTGTATCTTGTCTAATGGTTTACATGAAGAGAGTGAACCTGTTTTAATTACAAAATTAATTGTCAAAGGTCAAATTTGAGTTTTTGAATGAAGCCATTCAAGTTGTTTTGGATTGCTAGAGGGTATCTCCTAAATCAAACACGTACAAGGACCACGTGATTACATCATACGAAGAATTATTACTGGTCGCAGAATTAATTTATCTTGCATTTTCATGACATGGACAGGTAAAATACTTTCAAGAAAAATAATATGCGATGTCAAAATAGTCAGACCGCGTGAAATATTGTTTCAATAAATTGTTATGAAAAATATGTTGACGTAAAGAACCATTACAGATGGAAAACGTAAATAACTCATTATTCATTGTACCATTACATAATATAGAAAAATATTAGTAACACGTGCTATTTAAACGTTAAAAAAAACTAAAATCTTAGATAATAAACAGTTTTGGGATTTTAAACATGTAAACATCTGTGTTTCTAATCGATAAACAACCAGTGAAAATATTTAAATTTCTCAAAATAAAGTGAAATCATCCTTAACAATACTATTACTATATGTACATGTTCATTCCATTATAAAACCAATACGTAAATCACATGCAAAAAGACATAATAGTATTTTGATTTTAAACAGGAAAACGTTCCAGTAACGACCCTGTCCCTTTAATCTTTATGTCACATTTGGACTATTGACTTATTCCTCTTATTTGTTAGGTATCTCTCAAATTCATAAAAATGGTAACGCTCATCGTAAAAATGCATCTGTTAAATTAAAAACATCAGCCTAAAGTAGTACACAGTTAAATATTAATTAACCCAAGATCAATGAATGAAAAAAGCTCATAGTTTGAATCGAGGGGGGGGGGGGAGAAAAAAAATCAAATATTTACAGTTAAATAAACGAGATTACTATTATTAATTAAATCACATATCCCACAGTATTGAGAAGAATAAAAACCAACATATAAAAATGGTTTCCGTGCAGTCTTTTCTGAATTAATCTTCTTAGAGTATGCCCCAGGCCAAAAGTTTAGGAAACAAAATATCAGGCCAAAAGTTTAGGAAACAAAATATATAGATCACCAGACGCATTAATGTCCTAAACAGAATATTCAAAAGCGTGTCCATTTTGCCGAACAAATTACATCTTAGTTTTACTTCGAAAAGCAATCAATATTGAATGTTGATGTTAAGCAAATTTAATTCAAAAGTAGAATTAAATATCTTTATTATATATGATATTATGCACATATATTTAATAAATAGTATAAATCTGTTTTATTTGCAACAAGGTCAGGACAATTCCAATACATTTTTGGTTATGGATGTCATCGATGCAAATTTTTACAAAACTGTAACATATGTAAAAAATGGACAATAGCGTATCGAAATTATTTTCAACATTAAAGTATAGCACTGAAGTTTAAGTTGTGAATAAACATGATAAAATAAACAGGGAATACATAACAAATTAGGTTTATGATCCAGTATGGATATTAGTCCAAAGAATAATGAAAAAAGTAAGTATAAGAACTCACTCAATAAGATTACTTAACAAGATTTTATTGAATTCTAAAAATAGATATCAATAATAAGGAAGTATTGGCTCTGTCTGTTGAAAAAATACATATTATTGAAATATGTAATATATTTCTGTTATATTAATATTGCATGGCTACAAATCTTTTTAAAAAAACCCTCGTGGCGCATTGATAAATTTTCTATCTATAATATACTGTAGTACAATACTGACAATTAATATACAAATAAGGAAAAGCGAGTATATATTAATTGCATACCTTGTGTGTTCAATAAATTTAGCAACTGTATTTTTTTTTTATAGATGACCAATCTGTTTTCATACAGTTTCCTGGTAATTTTATCACAATTCTTAGAAATACCCGTCGCATAAGAAATCAAATTTAATTTCATTGGTTGAAATTATACTTCCTAGTACGGATATTACACAATGATTAAACTTTACCCTCATGTAAAGATCAAATACCTTACGCTAATCATATTAAAGAGAATTTGCTACCGTAACCGAGCGGTTGCATGGGTATTTATTTTCACATCTTTGTACATTTTGTACCTGATAATAAAGTGTTGGGGCATACACTTATTTCTTTTTTTTCTATTTCTGATTGTCTGTTTGTCTTGCCATGTTTCGATTTGTTGGCTTTTTTTTCTTTGCTTGATTATTTGCCTTCTTGTTTTGATTTGTTGTTTTTTGTTCACCTTCTTTTGTATTTGATTTGTTGATCTGTTGATTTTTTTTATTAATCTTTTTTTAAGGAGGGCATGCGTTTTCGACTTTTCTCGATTTAACTTTATAGTTTCTGATATATGGTTTTATCAGGACACATTAATTCTATTTTGCACCTATTCTGGGTCTACGTGTATACTATGGAAGGATCCCAGACAATCTCGTAGATGGTTAAACATAATGATGTATTTGAACACAGTTCTTATGATTGACCGTTAACCAAACCTTGGACTTATATTGAATATAAAAAGAGGAGGAAGACAAAATTTGGGCTTATATTGACTATAAAAAGAGGTGGAAGACAAAGTTTGTGTATTTTCATTTTGTAATGTTACACTATTATTTCAGGTTAGGGTGAAGGCTGGCGACTGTTAAAACGTTTAAACCCGCTGCATTTTTATGCACCTGTCCTAAGTCAGGAACCTGTTTCAGTGGTTGTCGTTTGCTGATGTGGTTCTTAAGTGTTTCTCGTTTCCCGTTTTTTATATAGATTAGTCCGTTGGTTTTCCTGTTTGATTTGTTTTACACTAGTAATTTTGGGGCCCTTTATAGCTTGCTGTTCGGTGTGAGCCAAGGCTCCGTGTTGAAGGCCGTACTTTGACCTTTAATTGTTTACTTTTTACACATTGTGACTTGGACGGAGATTTGTCTCGTTAGCATTCATACCACATCTTCTTATTTATATTCGTAATGTAGAGTGTAGCATCCAACGTTTAAATTCAACCATACGAAATGATAGCATATAGATTCAAGATTCAAGATTCAATATTTTATTCTTAAAGTCTTACCACTGAATAACCGTTTCACAGATGATATCGGATATGTTCCTTATGTCGTAACTACAATACCCTTCCCTTTTCACGAATGTGACCTACCGAATTAGAGAATTTACCGGATTTGTAATAACATAAGCAACACGACGGGTTCCACATGTGGAGCAGGATCTGCTTACCCTTCCGGAGCACCTGAGATCACCCCCAGTTTTTGGTGGGGTTCGTGTTGCTTAGTCTTTAGTTTTCTATTGTGTCATCTGTGCTATTATTTGTCTGTTTGTCTTTTTATTTTTGGCCATGGCGTTGTCAGTTTGTTTTCGATCTGTGAGTTTGACTGTCCCTCTGGTATCTTTCGCCTCTCTTTTGTACATATATCGAAACTCCATACTTAAAGAACAACTGTTTTATGAAGAAAAACTGAACAAATATGTTTTAAGCTGAATTAAGACAGAGTGAAACGTTTAGATGCAGGATTGTAACTTTAAGAATAGAAACTGGAAATTATATCGGAAAACGTGCATCGGAAAAAGACTCTCCAGATCTTGTGCAGAAAAGATATACTTTTTGGAATGACCGCATTGTACATAATTAATGTAACAATTTAATAATTTTTGTGCGTCTGAAACGCTTTTTTGTAGAAACTTATGACCATACGGTAACCTAAAGAGAATGGCCAAATGCATCTTGGGTTTTGCCTGTGGGAGTAGTAACCTTAGATTCTAAATAATTGTCCCAATTAACAAACGGGGAATTTAAAAATTGTTGTAGAAAATCATGTCAGTGTCGAGTTGATGATAAACTAGGGGACTAACAGTCCATCAGCAGCGATATCGATTGATTGGTGATTACTTTACGCCGCACCAGCATAAAAAGGCTATATTGCGGCGAGAACGGTATCGACCAATTGCCAGTAAATGAAAACACTACTTTTGAGTTTAAAGCGACCCTGGTATACATAACCATATATATATGTTCATTAATTTAGTGTATAATTTGTGCATAAACGAGTTATTTGAGTGAATGAATGTACAGTGCGACAGGATTGCTTCCCTTAGTACATGTAGCAGATACTTAGCCAGTTGTTTAGCGATTGAGCTAGACTGGTACATCTTTAGCTCTGTTGGTTAAAGCGCTGCCTTGTAACACGGAGGACCCGGGCTCACGACCTTGAGGAGACGAAGTGATTATGTAATTTGAATCATGCTCTCCGGTTACATTTGGCGCCCAACTAATCAAACCCATGGCGGTTAGAGAGGGTTTTTAGCCAGGGCATGTGTTGTTTGAATCATAATGGTATGATGAATATTGAGGTGGGGAAAGTGTGACGAGATTTCTTCACTTAGAACATGTAGTAGATACTTAGCCAGCCGTAAGCGGTTGGGCTAATTTAGCTAAGTCGGTTAAAGCGCTGCCTTGTATCACAGAGGACTCGAATGCCGGAAGAAACAAAGTGATTTTGCAGTATGAATCATGTTCTCCGGCTACATTTTTCTATAAAAGAAGAGGACGAGTATGCATATATAAGACAGATCACACACACACACGGCATCTAGAGGTCAACATACTGTTTTCAACAATTATCATTGTAAATACCATTGGTCTTGCTTTAAATCGTCTCGACTATTTAACAGACTTGAATAAAGTTAACAGAGAATAAAAACATCTGCAATTAACTTCAAACTTCCTAAAGGGAAAACACATTAAATTATAAAAAATGAAAACAACACATTATAAATTTCATGCGTCCAAAATGCTTTTCTGGATTTACCTTCATCAGGAATGCTTAAAGCCGAATATTTGAAAGCCAAGGAAGTATAAGAACCGAAACAGTTGAAGAGCTGTATGACCAAAAACAAACAAGGACCTAAAAAAAAGCCAAATCCGTCGAAGATCAACTTTGCCTGAGGGACTTGAAACCTGAGTTTCTTTATAATTTCAAAATTTATTAACGGACAATTTTAAAAAGGTTTGCTATAAATCGGTTCAATACCGAAGTATTGACTACTGAGCTGATAATAAAAACTAACGACACCTTTACATTCCGTGGTTCTAGACATAGGACAGGCTAGCTTTGTGAAAACATAGCGAAATTTAAAATGAAAATTCAGAAAAAAAACCCACTTAACTCTACGATACAGGTATAGTCGACAACAAAAAATCAGAAGTGATATTGGTTGTATCAAAGTGGTAATGCAATCAGTTCTCGAAAGCAGCTTTCTGATATTAAAATCACAACGTCTTACAATATGATATCGGCGGCAGGACTTCATAGTAGATTGCATACAGCACCATCTCGGTTTTGTAAAGAATGTTAAACAATGAAGTAATGTATAGTTTACGATTTGCACGCCTTAAAATTGTCGTTTGAATTGTTTTACATTTTAGCCTTTCGGGGCTTTTTATAGCTTTCCATACAATACGGGTTTGACTCATTGTTGAAGGCCGTATAGTAATCTGTATATAGTTGCTTACATCTCGTCATTCGGTCTCTAGTGGGTATATGTTATTGGCATTCATACCACATCTTCTTTTATTTTTTTTATATTTGTAGTTTGAATAAGTTTCCTGAGTTTCTATATATTAGTATTCTTTGTAAAAATTCTACGATTCTCATCGCACCATGACTTGTTAGATTTTAGGAAGTCTGGTATCTTCAGAAAAACGAGAAAGAGGAAACACGGAAATGAAAATAAAATTTACAGTTATTTATAAAATAAAATCCATACATTTCACGGAAATATTTAGTTGGGTTTAAAAGAACGCTGTTATTTAGCCTTATAAAATATAATTAGCTATTATTAAGGAAAAGAAATGAACGAAAATCCAATGTTTTGACTTTGTATCACGTTGGCCAATATGAAACTGAAATAGAGATTTCTCTTCATTTGTTTGTTTTATTCCAACATCTTTTTTTATAATTTCCTGTAGTATTCTTAAAACATTAGATAAGTCAATATGCATTTATTAAAAAGGTCAATTTGTTTTTTCGATTTATAGTAATTTAGATTTTAAACTAGAGGTTCTCACATGCGTCTTCAACAATGGCCAATTTTTGGTAAAAACCATCATAAAAGGGCAATAACTATATAAACCGTGAACTGATAATTACAGCCATTTTAACGTATTTGTAGATCTTGTACTTCTGATAAGTTTTGTTTTTGAAAGTTTCTATCTATATTTTTATATATTATACTTTTCAAGAAAAAAGGCAAAATCTAAAAAAAAATGATCAAAATCATCTTTAAAGGGCAATAACTCCAATCAAGAGTCGACTAAAGATTTCAGCCAAGATGGCTTATTTTGAAGATCTTATCTTGTTGATCATTTTATTTGTAAAGTTTTTATCTATGAATTACATTTTTAAGATAATAGGCAAAAACGAATAAAATTGGTAAAAAACCTCATTAAAGAGCAATAACTCTAAAGCAAAAATCAAAAATAGTAAAATTTGACATTAAAGGGCAATAACTCTTATTAGAAGTTGTCTGACAGTTTTGATGTAAATGGACTGCAGATAGGTCTCAATGTTTTGAACATCTCTGCCCCTGTCAGATTTTCTTTATTCATAGTAATTTTCAAGATAATAAACGAAACTTGCATCTTAATTCTATGTTCTATTCTTAGCCATGTCGGTCATGTTGAATTGGTTGGCAGGCAGGGTCATCGGACACAATTTTTAAACTAGGTACCCTAATAATGAGTGTGGCCAAATTTGGTTAAATTTTGCCTAGTAGTTTCAGAGGAGAAGATTTTTGTTAAAGTTATAGACGATGGACGCCAAATAATGAGAAAAGGGTGTCTAGTTTTTGTGATTAGCCAGTGACCACCCCTGTTACAAATGGCGCCCAACGTGGGGTGCCATTTGTATCAGGGATGGCCACTGGCTAATCACAAAAACTAGACACCCTTGTGTACAGGATATATTTAATAGGTGGTAAGAATATAACCCTGCAATTAACAATATAATATGTATATAAAGTATTGATCACCTGTAATAATCTACTGTTTATGTCCATACTTTCGTAAATAAATCAATACTACACATATTCTAAACTACAATTATCTGGCCATGGAAAATAACAAATAATAAAATATATGTGCATTGCAAATAATTAATTTCAATATATAAATGACCCTATCACATTCACTTGGCCTTTTGGCCAGGAGAGCTAAAAAGTAAGAATGAACGTTATCATTTAGTAGACTATAAAGGAAAGCCATCAGTATGTGAAAAACATTCGATTTAGTGTTTTTGATGCTAATATATAAAAATGAGAATGGAAACGGGGAATATGTCAAAGAGACAACAACCCGATCAAAGAGCAGAAAACAGCCCGAGGCTACCAATAGGTCTTCAACGCAGCGAGAAAATCCAGCACTTGGAGGCAGTCTTCAGCTGGCCCCTAAACAATAATGTATACTAGTTCAGCGAAATGGACGTCATAAGAACAGAAATCAACTAAAACGAAAAATTATTTGTTGTATACTTTGTAATTTCTTCATATGCTGGTCAGTAAATATATTTATTATAAGGCATTTGTTCTATGATGTCATAATGTAAAACACTTGTAGGTAGTCTTGTCAATTATTTGCTCTGAAACGTTATTATGAAAACGTACCATCAACCATATAACCGTCTACACATGCTATGTTATCCCTCATTGTGTTATGCCGCTGGTATAGCAGGGCACAATTAAGAAGTGGGCAAACTGGATTTTTCTTTTTTCGACATACAGATATTTTTTGCAGGGCGTCCGCTTTGCAGCACGGGATGCATACATATGCAGCAACGGTACGTCACAATGGCAAATCGTTAAAAGTCTGTAGTTGGCCTTCCAAAGTTTTGGAATCGAGCGTACCTGATCATATAATTCTAGAAACAGGTGATGTTACACTATAATT